TAAAGTAAGGAATCAGTGCTATTAAGATTATCCGTGATCTCATTTATGCATAAAATAAATAGAAGGGGTCCCAAAAGAGATCCTTGGGGCCTCTCAGAGCAGATAGGCTTATAAGAGGATGTGTAACCGGCATAAGCTACGGTTCTTCTACTTTCAATGTAGTAAAAGGATTTAATATAAAAAAAATATTACCATAAAGTATTTTCAAAACAAAATTACAAATAAGATCATGATAGAAACGTTTTTAAAAGGAAGGCAGTAAAAGAATATGATTTTTTTTAATGTCTCCGAACACTGCTTTTATTTAAGGTAAAATAAACAAAATATTAGAAAAGTGTTTGGGATTATCTGGTTATCATTTCTTTGTCCGAGATGAAAACGAACGGCAAGCATAAGTGACATGATTCTTGATTGTCAACTCCGTATAAGGGCCGTAGTATGTATATTCCGCATACCACTTATGTTCACCATATTAATGATGTTAATACATATATTACGAGAGCTGTTATAACTGTAACAAGAGCAAATTCACGTGAGACAAAATAATAATAACATTCTCTAATTAGACAATCGCTTGGTGGAACAGAAGCGATTATGCCTTCTACTTTTCACACCCTAAGGGGATTGGTATCCCAAATCCTGGCAAAAAATTACCCTTGTTCGGGTGATGAGCTTAAGAAATCCCTTCGGCCGTCTACGGAAATATTTGTTTAAAGTCATATGGATTTTCCATACAACAAATACTACCTAAGTATAATTTGTTCTATGTTTGTTTAAATAAAAAATATGGTAAACCCATACCAAGCAAATGTACAAATTAATTAAGAACCAAAAATAAGCTTTTGCAAATACATTTGTTTGTTTATATAAGTATTTTTAAATCATTTTATTTCGAACTTTTGTGAGGAATAGTGGTCGCAAAACTAATGATTATACGTTAAATATATTATCTTCTTTTTATTAATATTCACTTAGTATATTTGAATTAAGCAATATAAGGAAATACTTAAAAAATGTAAAACAATTATTTAAAATTTATTTCTATTGTAATCATTCAAAATAAATCAAAACATCGATCAGATATTGGTTATACCGCTCTATAGTAATACAGGTAAAACCAACGCCCAACTGTCCACGCTAACGACTTATATGAAAGCAAACTCAAGGTCGTTCAAACCTTAACATATTGGTTTTATCGCGCGCCGTATCACAGGACACAAAATAAAGTCACTTTTTTATAACTACATTACTAGTACTTGTAGGTTTCTCCAGCCAGGGTTTTATCGGGCTGCTTCATTCGGCTTTTATAATTTTTACAACTATTCATGAACAAAGGAGATTGCTCAGCTTCCATACATGTTTGGCCTAAAGACCAATAATCATGAAAAATTGTTTCCTAGATTCGAAATTATATATAAATAAATAACTGTAGAAACGAATATTATTGGCGGACACCCCTAAGAACTTCTATAAACCATATACACTGAACATATTAAAATAATAAAAAACAAATAAGTTATATATTTACTATATAATCAAACTAGGGAAATCAAGCCAAGTACCGAAATTATGAATTAGATTCAGGTATATGGAGCATGTAGATTAACAGATAGTTACCTGTTTTTAAAGATAATGCATAAGAGTAACTTTTAAAATCAGGTGTCATTTCCGTTAATAATAAGGTACTCTGTGACAGAAACTGTGTGATGCTTGTGAATGAGCCACAGATTAGATGAGAATTTTTAAACTCTCGTTAACCAAAGAAAGCTAAGAGATTTAGGTTTTATAGCCATATATTCAGTAGCTTCATTATTTTTGTTATGTTTTTAAGATAACCATATTTTAGATTTTTAGTGTATCACACCTTATAATTTTATTTATTTATTAATTTATAGTCAGGGAACGTAGGCCATAGATAGATACCTTAAAGTCTAACATATATACAGATTATAATGTGTTTATGGAGGTGTTTGGCGAAAAATGTATGGCAATACACTTTATGATGTCGCCTACCATCTATAATAATTGTCTGAGCACGTTTGCATCTAGTGAAAATGATAATATAGCTGTGGATATTAATACCATAGCTGTGGATATTAATACCACAGTAATAAAAAAAATGATTTATTTTATCGATCTTTACAAAATAGATTTCTTCTTATGTTATATAAACAACTGCGATCAGTCTTTGGCTGAATGTTACTACACCCATAGCCATTAAAAATGATTCGTATGTTTTCCAAACCGGTATAATTAAAAGTCCTTTTTAAAGTAAATATATTATACAAAGGTGTCCGTTCAAATCTAATGACTGTAAATTAAATTATAAATTACGCCAAGAATTACCTTGTATGTCAATATTTTTTGTGCATTTAGGCCAATTTGAGCAATCTCCTTTGAGATTAAGGTTATAGCACTATTGTTAAACTATTTTAGGATTATGTCAGTAGAAATAATAAACAAATAACAATAATAGCATTCTTAGGGATAACTAGTTATTTACAAATAAAATCAATATGTTAAGAACATTTTGTATTTACTACGCGCTATTTCATAAGAACAGAACACAAAATAAAGGCACTTTTTATGTAACGACATTACTTGTAGATGTTAACTCCAGCAAGAGTTTTATTTGGCTGAATCTGCTTTTATGACTTTAACAGCTATTCATGAACATTTCTGAGATAAAGATTGTTAAATAAATTTTTGGATTATGTCTGGAAAAAAAATGGCTTGGATTTATGAAACCACGATGCAAGAGAAACTTTTAAAATAATTAGTAATAAAAATCCTCACTTGGCTGAGATTCTAACCCGGGCCTCTCGCGTAGGGGGCGAGCTTTTTTCCACTGAACCATCTATGCTTATTAATAAGATCTGTTTTTTTTTAATAACGATTATAAGATTATAGATTATAAGTAATGCGGCTTGCTAAACCACCCACCAATTCGCACTAAACGGGTGGGTCATGGCCTAATTTCCTTATTACATACGAGTACGTAGGGAAAGCTTCTACCCCTGAACTGGGGACATTAATAGGCTGGCAATGATGGTGATAATTTTCCACGTTCATACTAATAGTCATAATAATATCACATACTTTACCTCGGCACAAAGAAAATAAAAATGTAACAACTTTATATTTGAACAAAAACATATTTTTAACTACATACTTACTTAAATTAGGTAAACAAAGTCAATGAAAAATAAAAACATAACTATAATTGATATTTCTTCTTTCAAATGTTTAATGTATTTAAACTTGTAAAGGTATTTCATTTGAGATTATGTGGGTTACCTACAATGCGAAGAGATGGAGCTGCCTTGCAGCCTAAGGCTAGAGAAAATTCGACACGGCCGTCAGGGCCGCGGTAGCATAATGGTCAGTGCATTCGCCCGGATTTCGGATAGCCCGGAACCATGGTGTAAAAATTTCTTCGATCTTACACAATACCTAGGATTTTTTTAAGTTTCTAAATTTCATTGACGTCTCTGAGCGCAGCAGTGTGTTTTAAATGTGTAACACCACTCAAGAAGTCGCTATCGTATTCTCTTAAGGGAACTTTTATTTTTACTATAACTTGACACAAGAACCTCACTTTTAAATTTGCAATTATCATTCAAGATGAGGAGTAGAATAAAAGCTAGGAATACACCACCTTTTTTTGTTAACGCCGGCAAAACCTTTATTTACAGACGACGGTGCCTTTAAGAGGCACACCGCCGAACGGACCTCACACTTGGCTCCCGCAAGCTTTACGGGCCCCCGCAGTGGCTGCCCACTGAGGACCCCGTAAATCCTACGGGCGCTTTACGGCATAATATACGCTCAAAAACCCTGCGAATACCCTCTAAACTGCTTAGTGCTAAGCCATGGGATCCCCGTTTAGGAATTTTTCCGCGTTTCCGCACCTAGCAGCCTCCCGGACTAGCCGGGGAGCAAAGTTTTGCGAACAGACTGTATATATCAAAAACGGTACTATGTCACAGCTCAAGGTTTTAGTTCCTTGTGACAATAAAAAGTACTTTACCTTTGTTGCTCTGACAACGTCGACATCCTCAGGTTAGTAAATGTTATATGGGAGTCTTCAACTTAAACCTTCAAAATGATCGATCATCAAAACAGGTTAATTAGTATTACTTACTTAAGGCATACGACTAGTTTTTCTGGTTGCATCTAACATCCACAGCACCCATCCAATCCGGATTGAGCCTCCATCCCATAGTTAGTCATTACACACATTAGGATGTTCCACCAACCCCACAAGGGATCGATAGCGAGGTAATGTAACGTTAACCTCAGAGTCCCGAGATTTTTTCCCAAAACATAGAAAAAAATATTCTGTATGCAGTACTGAGGATGACAAAAATATGAAAATAAAAATGTGCCCCTTTTCCTTCTGGTTTTTTATGGGCTCACATAAGTACATCAGGACCCAGTCCTCGCCTTAGAATGTAAAATAATGGTAGATTGTACTAAATCAACTTTATTTAAAAATTATATCCAAAGATCTTCCAGTTTTAAAATAGATGTTTTGTTGGACAGTATCACAATATGTATTTTATGACAAATCATCGTACATAAAAAAAATGGTTCACTGTAACACAGTATGCTCGGGGAAAATTCACATTTGATAGACGTTTAAGCATCTTGAATTTTTTAATATCTATGTACTCGCTCGAAGATGTGCGGTCTCTAGAGGTTAAGTGTATTTTACAATTCATAAAACTCGATGAACCGAAAAAGTTTGACTTTTTTGTTTGTTTAATAAGTATCTTTTACCTTTAAACAAACGTAGTTTCACAAACTAAAGAAAAAATGAAATGTCTTTTAAATTTCTACGTAATATCAAAAAGGTATTGCACCATCGAGACTGGTTTACGCAGATTTACAATGAAAGGACTAACTGCACCAGTTGAACTTGACTTTTCTCTAGGTCGCATCGGGAACAGTATAAATACATACGCTCACCGAGAAGAAAGCATCAGTCTCATTCACTCGTCGTTTGCAATCTGAACTAACACAGACCACGATGAACTCGCTGGTGGTGTTGTTTTCTCTGGTGGCGCTGGCGGCGGCCAAGCCTTCATCCCTCATAGGATCGGAGTTGATATCGTACGCTGCGCCCGCCATCGCAGCTATCCCTGCAGCGGTCTCTTCCCAATCCCGCATCGATATCAAGTCATCACCGGCTTACGTCGCCACCACGGCGATCGAGCCCATCGCCCGCACCGTGATCGCTCAACCCGCTGTGGTCGCCGCTCCTGCCATCGTTGCTGCCCCAGCTGCCGTGTCGCACCAGTCGCGCATCGATGTCAAGTCGTCCCCAGCTGTAGTCAGCAGCTACCTGTCTGCACCCATCGCTACTGCTGCCATCGCGCCCACTATCATCAAGTCTGCTGCTTTCGCGACTCCCGCCATCGCCGCGCCAGCGATCGCTACATACGCAGCTCCTACTATTCTGAAGTCAGCCATCGCGCCCGCTTTGATCGCCTCCCCCTCGGTGCCCCTGGATACTCCTGAAGTGCTCGCTGCTCGCGCTGCTCACTTTCAGGCGAAGGCCCTGGAAGGTCACATCATCCACAAGCGCTCTGTGGTCGCTGCCCCTGCCCTCACATATGCCGCAGCTCCCCTGTTGTCCGCCCCTGTGTTGCGCGCTGCCCCTATCTCTTACGCCGCCCAACTAAGCATCCCTTCTCCCATCTTCACCAAGGCTTACAGCGTACACCCCTGGTGAGCGCCGCCAAGGAAACGAGGAACCAAATTCCTCGGTTCAGAACTGACAAACGACTGAAAGAACTGGCGTGTAAATAAAAATAAAATAAAAACGATATACGGTATTTCATTTATTTAAGTAGTCCAAACTTTTAAATAGGTATTCAGTAACAATTTGATTCTCGTACATACATGTTATTACTTGTATTAACGGTGGCTTAAGATTTCTTGGTAGAGTTATGGGAAACCAGAGAAATAAGATACAGGATTAGAGTATTAAAAAGTATACTTACAATAAGTGTGCGACGACTTGGAAATAGCATCTTTGTTGTTTCAAATAGGTAAGTTTTGGAACCCTAGGTCATAAAAAAACACTATACTTTCATTCTTTTTGGCTTCAGAAGTTACGGTTCTGCAATGAGGTTTGGTTGCTCTACCTACTTTCTACAACTACATACAAAAGTTACGAGAAAAAGACACCATTGCTATCAGAGTTTTAGTTTTGATATATCCACACACACTTTGTTTGGCACACCTGCTTAAAAGCCCACACACTCACTGGCATATGTTCGAAGATTATGCAATCCAAATGAAATCAATTTAATAAACGACGGATGTGAAGTTGGTCTAAATGTCCATTGTAAATATATTGTTTTACAAATTATTTAAGTAATGTTCATATTTATAAGTTATTATTAGAATGATTTCCCTGCCAGAATATTTACTTAAATGGCCAAGAAAGACAGAAGGAAAATATTATTTCCCTTTTTATTTTATGAAGAAATCTAGATATTATGAAAAATATCTAAGTTTGAATTTCATTGAAATAATGTTAACTGGGACATTGAATACGGATTGACTTTTCAGAGTGAAATTAAGAAGCTGTACCCATAGCACGAACCATTATCGAATTCGAATAGTTTGCGAGTCCGAAATGTAAGGGTACAGTAACCCTTAGCATGAACCGATATCGAATTCGTAACGTTTGCGAGTACGATACGTCATTGTCAAATGTGTACTGATTTTTAGTTCGCCTTCGTACGTGATAGCGCTGCTGTTCAAGTTTTTGTACAAAATATGACAATGTCATTTCGGAGTCGCAAACTATTCGAATTTGATATTGGTTAGTGCTAGGGGTACTGATCCACATCCATATAGGTCAACATCTTGTGTAAATAAAAACGTAAAAAGTACCTAAAATTGACTTCCCCTGCGTATGTATTATTTTAGTCTGGATATATTTTTTATTTCATGTGTTCAACAACAAGTGTAGGTAGAGTTAACATCAGAAATCAATATATCTTTATTCAAATTGGATGTTATAGTACAACTCTTTTGAATCGTCCAAAAACTTTATTTCCCTACGACTCGTTATGGACATATTTTTTAGCTGCATCAGAACCGCAAGTATGAAGAATTAGCGAGAAAGTATTCGTATCGCCAACGTCACTACGGAAAGAGCTAGTTTTTTCTTACTTCCGATAGGGGTGCTGCTTAGTTTCCATAGAAACTTTGACATACGAATACTTTCTCGCTAGTTGTTCGTGCTTGGTAAGAAATAGGTAAGATGGTGTGATTAGCTATAGCCAGTACGGATAAAAAAAAACTCGTGAAAATAACAAACATAAATTGAGTTATAGTTTTCATAAGAAATACCATTGCAACCTTTTATTTATTAAGTTCTAACTGTGAACATCATTTAACTTAACATTGATATCATTCAAATTGATAATAATTTCAAGAACAAACATTCTGGGCTATTATAAAATATTAATGATACGATCACAACATAAAACAGCTTAAATATTTTATTATATAAGGTGAAACAGCGACTGAAATCTATGCGTTATTTGTTATTTTGAGATAATCGATTCGGGTTTTTATTCCCATATCGCTTCGATAGTATTATAACAAAAAAAGAATGATTAGCTTCCGCATGTACAAAAAAAATGTTTGCGCACACGCCCGCCGACCATTGTAATTCTACTATTTTAATATCAAGGCGTACATTGATTTGAAGGTGATTATGTGGCATTTCTGTCAGCCAATTATTCTTATTAGATAAGCGGCTGTATATAAGCATCTATTGCGGTCGTCCTAGCATCAGTCGATCCTTACTCATCGATCAGCAAACTCAACACAGACCACAATGTTCAAGCTGGTGGTGTTGTTCTCCGTGTTGGCTTTGGCGGCGGCTAAGCCTGGCCTGGTGGCTCCTTTGGCGTACTCGGCTGTGCCAGCTGTGAGCTCCGTGTCGCAGTACAGTTCTAGTGTGGTCCACGGGTCACCAGTAGTTCCTGCTGTGTATGGTGCGTCTGTGTACAGTGCGCCTGTTGTGGCTGCCCCCGCTGTGGTGCCTGCTGTCGCTGCGCTGTCTCAAGCTCCTCACTCCCCCGCTGTAGTCCTGGATGCCGTCAACGGAGTGCCCCTCGACACACCTGAAGTGGTAGCCGCCCGCGCTGCTCATTTCCAAGCTAAAGCTTTTGCTGGACATCACCTTGGCAAGCGCTCCGTGGCCCCCGTCGCTTATAGCGCTGTCGTCTCCCCAGTGGCCCACAGCGCTGTGGTTTCCCCTGTGGTATCAGCCTACTCGGCCCCTGTAGTATCAGCCTACTCAGCCCCTGTAGTCTCCGCTTACTCAAGTCCCGTTGTGTCAGCTTACTCCGCACCCGTAGTAAGCGCTCCTTTGGCTTACTCCGCTGTCGTCCCCAAAGCCCTCAGCGTCCACCCATGGTAATCAACTGATCGCCGAATATATTGTATTATATCAGATCGCATCTAAAAAATACTATGTATATATTACTGCACTGCCAAATTAAATATTTTTTATAAAAATCAACTCTTTTGTTTTCTTTTTTATTTGATATACAATTTCTGAAGATAATAATCTAATATCTCAAAGAACCATCAAAACACGCTAATTTATTATCTCCCGTTATTTTTTGTTGGTATTTGACATTTTTTTAGAACTACACCAATAAAATACAATTGTGAAATATTTTATACGTTCCTCCGAAATATCTAATATAATTAGTACAAAGAATAGGCACAACACATATTTTTTCTTCTAATTAACGCATTATTTTCTTAAATGAAAAACACTATTAAAATCGTCAAATGAAATGTCTGGTACTTGAAAACGCAATCTAGCTGCGTTATACTCGGAAGTCAGATGGCTTAAACATCTTGTTCAGGGTATAGATTACCTATTGGGAATAATAGAAATAAGAAAACTTTGAAGTTATTCCTCAGAATGTATAATTGCTTCCAACATTAAAAATATCTACTGTATACAAGGTAAGGTTGCGCACAAACATTTTACATATCAAAACACAACACCACAGGATTCAAGTACGTCTGACTAGTAATGTCCTACATGTTAATATCCGTAATGGCCATGTCCACTTGCGTAATGGCCGAGACCCAGATGGCCAGCACCCAAATGCCCACCAAGATGGCCAGCACCCAAATGTCCACCAATATGACCAGCACCCAAATGTCCACCTAGATGGCCAGCGCTCAAATGTCCACCAAGATGACCAGCACCCAAGTGTCCACCAAGATGAGCAGCGTCCAAATAGCCTCCTAAGTGTCCTCCTAGATGACCATCGAGGTGGCCAGCACCAAAATGACCATGTCCAACGGCTAGTACTGGAGCTGCTACCACTGGTGATACAAAGTGTTTGACGACTGCTGGTGACGAGTGGACGTCCACTCGTGATTGGTGAGAAACTGCCACTGGAGCTACGTGAGCTACTGGAGCAACATGAGCCACGTGAGCAAACGGTGCGACCGCAGCAACGTGTCCAAAGTGCCCATGACTGAAATCAACTGCATGAGGTGACCGTTTCCATATGTGATGTCCGAGCGGCTTAATCAAACCGTGTCCATAACTGTATCCATGACCATGTCCATAACCGTAGCCATGACTAAGGCCGTGGTCCAAACCGTGCCCAAATCCATGACCCAAGCCATGGTAAGAAGATACCACTGGCACATGCACTGAATGCACCACCGGTGCAACTAGAGGAAGCACTGCATGGCTGTACCCGAGAGCAAGGCAAGAAAAGAATACAACGGCACGGAACATTTTAATGTTTACAACTCTTTACGAATGAATGTTTCTACTAATATAACAGAAACAAAATTTGTCCGCCTACTTATACTATCGTATCTAAGTGACAGGATCGGAAAAACTAATAATAGATTCGACACGCTATTGAACAATGAAATTGGGTTGGTCACAAAAAAATATACAATAATTCGTTTTTGTCACTTCAAATACGCTCGTGTTTACTTCCATGTAAGTTTTCGTTTAAACTTGAATAATTTATATTATACAACTATAAAAAACTAACTCTGTGTTCGCTTCATCGCCATTATAATTTTTATTAATCGCCAATGGAAGGACACAGTCCTTCACCATTGGAAAAAACCCATAGAAAACAGCAGTGCTTTTCTGTAAGAACAAACTCACTTTTCATCTCGAAATCTGCGGTACTGGAACATGAATTTCAAATAAATTTCGAATTAAACCTGTGAATTCCGCAGTGAAAAGTGACATTGTTATAAGAGAATACATGGACAGGCCTTCATACCACTAATGCCTCCAGACATTGTCGGAACCAAGCACCGACCTAACGATACTCGGTGGGCATGTTTGTTTCATATAAATTATGCTTATATTATTCATTCAATTCATAATTTCTAAATTTTGTATCGTTTATTCAGTCTAAGCACAATTCACAAGCGACTTCGACATTCACAAGCACTTGTGAATGTCGAAAAGCTACGCCATCGGTTCGAAAATCTACGGCGGGAGACCTTGTACTGAAAAGAACCGGCAAGAAACTCAGCAAGGGCTGTTTTTTTCTCCCTGTTTTATATATGTATAGGGTCGTCAAATTGAAAAATGACTTCTATATGAGATAACTCATGAAGTCACTTTCTATTACAGAGACGAACTTCTTAGCAATCCATGGATTCACCGTGCGGGTGCCGGATCCATCGTGTGGAAGAGAGAGAAACTCTGAACAGTTCCCGGGACTTGCGACCCAGGTGTAGGATTAAGGAGGCCCCCTTTAGGATGCGCATCAACGCTCACCTTCACTGCTCGAGTTGCCCGTTTAGGAATTATTTTTAGGGAACGTAACGACCCGCCTCACACGACACCGCCGAAGAGATTTTTAAGAGAGTATGACTACTAAAATAGAAAATAAATAAATATAAATACCAGTGTACACTATGATTAAAACTAGAAACACAACTGTAGGACACATGCATGTAAGTAATTACATAAACACTATTACGAGTCGAGTAAGTCTTTACCAGAGAAATAAGAAATGTTCATCTACATTTTGATTGTTTTGTCATACAGTATAAATACAAATTGTGACAATTATTCAATACAAAGAACTAATGCATTATTTTATTATTTGCATCTCGTTTGCATAACATAAATAAGATAGTCACTACGTTACAAGTAACATAATATTATCATTTTTAACTTAGTACAGTTTTAACTTTTCTTCAAGTAGGTAGTAATATTATTGATAGTTAAACTTATCAGCAAGTGAGATTCGTGTTGAGTAACCTAATACGCTGTTGACAGCACATAGGCGCGAACACAAATGGTTTGACAGGGGTGGTGCCAGACAAGTGAAATGCACTGGTAAAATTTGTTCTTTGTCTGTTGTTTAGCTGTTTCAAACTCAAAATCGTGTGATACAGAAATACTACGGACTGTACGTTTCTTTACCCGTGTGGAAATACTAAAAGACGGACTAGTACCATACATATTTCATTTTGTATGTTGAATGAAAATAAGTATTATTTTTGTTGGTTGAATGAAAATAATTTTAATATTTATCAAATAGTATTTATTATTAATGAATATAAAAAGTACACGGTTACATAACGCTCGCCATGCATGTTTCATTCACAACGTGCACTGGTTGCTCAATCCATCATTTACGTTTAGAAATAGAGTTCAAGTTCATAAATATTCATGAGTACGCTAGTGACGCGCCGCAAGTATCTCAATCCGGCCAGTGCCCCTGCGCATATTACGCAACCGACCGAGAACTTGACCCGTTGTCGCATCTACCGTTACGTGAACACTATATAACGCCGACGTCAGAGATGCACATCGCATTACGGACGCTGCAAAATGTTGAGTAGAATACTTTTTGTTGTGTTCGTTACGACGACGTTCTGTGAAGCTGCATCACTCATTTACGCATCTCCGACTGCAGTGTCGCATCAGTCGAGAGTGGACATCAAGCATACTCCTGGTTTCCTATCCGCACCACTGATCTACAGCCCTACGATATTAGCCGGGGCCAATGAAGTAACAAATGGTGCAGTCATCACTCCAGTACTAGCAGTGGATACAGTTCTAACTCCTGTAGCACTGAGTTTCTTCAATAACCTGCCGCTAGCGAGAGCTCTGAAAACCCCAATATCGATAGAAAAGTTACAAGAAGAAGGGGAGAAGGATGAAATGAAAACCAGTGGGAGTAAATTCGAATCTGACAATGAAACTCCGAACAAACATGTAACATTCGTAGTTAAAAGTGACGAAAATATATTGTCATCAGATGGAGGTATCGGTGTTATAGAAAACAATGAAAAGGCTAGCAGTACCAGTGAACCTCGGGAAGCTGTGACTGTATAGAATAATGTTTATGTTCAAAATATATATTTTAATTAGATAATTAGGTACATCGTAGTAGGGGAGGCCAAGCGGGGGCCTCTTTGGGATTTACTCGAGCGCTGCAGAATAACCTAAAAGGTAAAACCTTGTGAAGTACTAGTACCATACCTGAGCCCTTAATATAGGGTCGAACATCTTAGTCCGCAAAAAAAAATCAACCGTCCGCCATGACTTTTCTGTCAAAATGGTCAGCCTTTTGAATAAGCGCGACTGGAGGATTCACGTATCGTTTCTGATGACGTAAGGGGTCAAATTAGAAAAAAAATGGAGCGCGTCAGACATTGAGAAGGAATGTGTGATGTGAAGTGACGTGATGTGTTTATGCCATAAGTCATTCTGCCACGTTCGAGTAAATCCCAATATCCCCGATTGGGCTACCCTACTATAGTGATAATTGAACCCCACCTCAAGTTTCTCATTAGTTTTATTTAGTGCATAATTAGGATTAATTGTTATAACTACTGTAAATTAAAAGAAGTATAAATTAAATTTAAGAGAATTTATGTTTTCTTGTTTATTGAACAATGATAGTATATTTATTGTATCTCACATTTCCGCGCATCAACCGTTTAATAAAATAATCATAAGCTTTTTCCTTAGAGTCCAATGCTGTGTTGGTGCGGTCTTTATAACTGGGACGATTTATATGAATTTATAAAACTAAAATTTTCGTAAAGTTTTTTTTTTTTTAAATATTATCGTAGCCCTCCTTATTTATAATCCTTGCGTATGGTACTCGTCTTTTGCAAAGAATATTTATCACAAAACCCATTATCAATTCAACGATATGAATATGCTCCTTCTAATTATTATAATTTAATATTCTCTAATATCATTATTAACCGACATAACAAAAATGTTTAAACGATGGTTTGTTTTTTTCCTAATCCCGACCAGTTTTGATAATGTAAAGATTTTTTACATATTTTTTTTTAAGAAAACTAATCAGCCTCGTCTCAAAGTAAGCACTATTATGCTTGTAAGTGTAATAAATGAAATGTGTGTGGAATATGCTCATACTATCCATATTCAGTTTTTTTTTTCAAAGCCGATCCAATCCGATTCTACCTTGATTTTTAAAGGGGTTGATACGTCCATGATCCTCTAACCTACTTACTAGAATGAAATACATCATTTCGTAATAAATCTGGAGCTTTCGGCGTAATATATACGAAGTCAGTTTGATGATTTGTGATATCTGCACAAGTGAGTGACAGAACCAATTGAGGTCATAAAAATACCCTGATAGTAATTCGATGCTGAATAATTGATTTTACATTTCTTATTTAATGAATACATATCACAAATAACAATTAAAGACTAGGCTTAAACGGCAATACCAATAATATACCGCTATGCTTTAACTGTACTTCAGTTTGACGACATTATTCCTCAAAACACACATTTGTATTTCTTTTAAATAAATTTAATAAATAGGTTTATTTATATATAACAAAGCGGGTTTGCCGATTGAATTGGGGCGCCTGACTGGAGAATTGGCTTCTACAATTATTTTCAGGTATCCTGCTCACTACGGTGTATTGGTTTTAGGCCGACAAGATGACAATAACTGGAGTGATACAAACCATATAATATTCTTTTTCATCATATACACACTTAACATCAGTACCCCTAGCACGAACCATTATCGAATTCGAATAGTTTGCGAGTCCAAAATGTCATTGTCAAATTTTGTATGGAAACTTATACAGGAGCGCCACAAAGTTTGTAACGAGTACTAAACAGTACCCCTAGCACGAACCATTATCGAATTCGAATAGTTTGCAAACCGAAATGTCAATGTCAAATTTTGTATGGAAACTTGAACAGCAGCGGAACAAAGTACGTAACGAGAACTAAAAATCAATACACATTTGACAATGACATTTCAGACTCGCAAACGATACGAATTCGATATTGGTTTGTGCTAGGGGTACAGTACACATTTGCATTTGCAATGGAAGCAAACAGTAGAATTGATGGACTTCAAGAGATCAAGCCGTAAAGCCTGGAGAGTCCTACACAAGCTTACTGATTGCCACTCGGCTTCTTCTAGTTCCTCAGGCATCCATCCAAACAAGATAGCGAACAGAATGGTCAACGTCTCGAGAGCTCGTGGGGATAAACTGGATACAAAAAGAACCAAACGGTTACTAAGTGAGCTAAAGAAAAATACAGTTAACTCTCCGTACCTTTCCGAACCGTTCACCCTAGATGAAGTCTATAAAGCCGTGCGTCACTTAAAGCCTGGAAAAGCCGCTGGATGCGATGGAATATACAACGAGTTCCTAATTCACATCGGAGTGCACGCTAGAACATGGATATCAAACATGTTTACTGTTATCCTCAACTCCCAGTCTCTTCCAGGGGCCTTCAAGCAAGCAAAAGTCATCGCCTTGCTTAAGGCAGGCAAATCAGCGGATGATCCCACGAGCTATCACCCGATTGCGCTCTTCAGCAATTGTTTCAAGCTCCTCGAAAGGGTAGTGCTGGAACGCATAGCTCCTCTGATCAACCGGGTCATCCCTGTAGAACAGGCGGGCTTCAGGACTGGTAGGAGCTGTAGTGACCAGGTCTTAGCTCTAACCACCCAAATAGAAGCAGGATTCCAGAAAGGTTTAAAGACGGGTGCCGTCTTCGTAGATCTAACTGCAGCCTACGACACAGTATGGAGGGACGGACTGCTTCTCAAACTACTTAAAGTAGTCCCAAACATGACTGTTCGCTTGGTCGCAAACATGTTGTCTGGACGCGTATTCAGAGTGCACTTCGGCTGCAAAGTGAGTGACACAAGGGTACTCCAACGGGTTGCCTCAAGGGTCCGTTCTGGCGCCCACCCTCTTCAACCTTTACATCCACGACCTACTTCGCACCAGCGCCAGGAAATTTATTTATGCCGATGACATCTGCCTCGCACTACAGAGCAACAGATTCAGAACGCTGGAAAGAGGCCTGTCCGAAGATGCTGCTACAATGTCCCGCTATTTCAAGCTGTGGCGTTTGACTCCAAGCACGAGCAAAACTGAAGTCAGCTGTTTCCACCTACACAACCAACTTGCAGATTGCGAGCTCAAAATAACTTGGGACGGAAAACTATTGAACCACAACCGGAACCCGAAGTACCTGGGAGTTTCGCTTGATCACTTTTAACAACCACCTGTGTCAGACATCTCGCAAACTGTAGACCCGTAACAACATCTTACACAAGTTGGCTGGTACCTCCTGGGGAGCAAGCGCGGATGTCCTACGTACTACTGCACTGTCACTCGTGTACTCAACGGCGGAGTACTATGCAACAACTTGGCTGGATAGTGCCCACACGAACAAGGTAGACGTCGAACTTAATAAGGCCATGAGGTGCATCTCAGGAGCAATTAAATCGACCCCAACACACTGGCTTCCCGTTCTGTACAATATAGAGCCCCCAGCCACTCGCCGTAAACTGGCCCTTTCTAGAGAGGTGAGGAAGATCAAAGCCAACGCTGAACTACCTATACGTGAAGAATTCCTAGACCGAAGCGAACTTAGACTCAAGTCCCGCAGACCACCATGCCATACGGCAGCCACCATGCCCGAGGATGGTTTTGATGCGAAGACCCAATGGAAGAGTGACTGGAAGACAACGATGGAAGGAACACTTGCTGAAAAGTTCACCCCAGGAGTGAGGCCAGCAGGCTTTGATCTACCCAGGCGAGAGTGGTGCCTCCTCAACAGACTGGCGGCTGGATCGACTCGCCCCGATGTGAATGCGGTGCCGACGTACAGATCATCCAACACATCGTACAGGAGTGTCCCCTTACCAAATACGATGGTGCGATGGAGGACCTGGTCTCCCTCGATAACGACGCTGCCAATTGGCTAAGACATTCAGATTTTAAACTCTGATTCCTGTGACAAGACAATGCCATACGAATAAAATAAAAAAGTACACATTTGACAGTGACATTTCGGGCTCGCAAATCGAATTCATTCATTCATTCCGGGTTTATGCTAAGGGTACTGTACCCCAAGCACAAAAAACTAGCGGAAAGTATGCGTTTCGTCATGTAATTTTTTTCATAGAAAAAGCTAGTTTGTTCTTACGTCCGGTAAAGGCGCTGCTTAGAAACTTTGATGTTGGCCAGACGATTAGTGCTAGTTCTTGGGGTACAGGTAGGGTAGGATGATGTAGGGTAAGTTGCCTCTAGCGGCAGCTTAGCAACTAATAGAACTTTTTAGTGTTTAGTGGCGGCGTTTGGTTAGTACAACCACCGAACTAAATATATTATATGTTTAACTAGACAATAGTATGTGTAATATCTATATATATATATATATATATATATATATATATATATATATATATTTACATCTTCAAAGACTTCTTGCATCTTTACAAACTGCCACCCTGCGGCGTCCACTGTACTCGACGCGATTTTGAATGTTTTAAATGCGTATTTAAGTAGCTATTATTATTATAATTTCTTGAGTCTACGCGAAATTGCATTAAAATATAAAATGCCAATATTCGATTTTAATATTTCCCGGTAATTTAGCGCATCCGTTCACCACCATAACCATACAGCACACTGAATATTTACGTATACCTTCTATGCACTGCTTAAATGCTCCTACCTCCGTCCAACCTTATGTTTAAATTGATTCTGCATAATAAGATTTATTTTTACAAAGTTACGTCCCTCAATTTTTAAAAAGAGAGTTGTTACTTCCGGATACTATAGGTAATGTATATCAATAATATTCATCCTGCTAGTCCACCGGCTTCCAGGTACACCAGTACTTATACTGTCTTTGGAGTAGGAAATAGGTAGCTACAATTACTTACTTATGTTCAAAGCTTGATCGTTATTTTTGAGTTTTACACAGGTCAGTCGGGTAGACAGGGAAGTTCTTTTTTTATTATATCTTAAAGTTTACATTGGTCCGTACATTATCACCACATTATTACCACTGTGCTGAAGCTGTTTCGCGTAAGCCGGCGGCATATCGTGCTTGGATCAGAGGCCGCGCTCTTAAGGATCCCGGGGTCGATTCACTAAAAGCAGTCTATAATTTAGCTTCCAAGACCTGTAAGAAGGATTACAGCGGATGCCCAGCGCGTTTCACGTGTTGGTCACGAACTTATAACGCATCCTTCCAGCTCCCATAACTATTGGCGTTTGGCCAAGGCCGTGCAAAAGAACTTCTGCCAGCCCTCGCTGCCACCTCTGAAATTCCCTGACGGAACACTAGCTCATAAGCCACGGGAGAAAGCCGATTTACTAGCAAAACTCTTTGCGGCTAAAATCGATATTTGCAATGCACTGCCACCATCATTACCTCATTGTGACACAACGATGCCTGATATTAAAATCAGGGAGCGTGAGGTTCGTGTCGAATTGCAATCACTCGACATCCGGAAAGCTGGTGGACTTGATGGCATCCCATTAGTAGTACCAAAAAAATGTGCAGCGGAGTTGTCTTCCGCTCTCACGCGCTTGTACTAATGCTCGCCCCTTTGGGGCGTGTGCCGGAGACTTGGAGAGATGCCAACATGCAACCGGTTCCCAAAAAAGGAGATCGCTCAGACCCGGTAAACTATCGGCCAATAGCTGTCACCCCAGTATCATGTAAAGTCCTAGAAAAGGTTCTTAACAACCATCTGACCCGCTACCGAGAGGATCAATCCCTGATTAATGATCGTCAATATAGTTTTAGACCCAAACGGTCGACGGGTGATCTTCTAGCGTACTTGACTCATATCTGGGGTGAGGCTATCGACAAGCGTGGCGAGTCGTTGGCTATCAGCCTTGACATTGCCAAGGCGTTCGTCAGGGTCTAGCACAAAAGCATTCTCACCAAGCTTCCGGCATACGGTCTGCCGGCACAGTTCTGTTTATTTATTTAATTCCTTTTGGGAATATTCATTGCGATGCATACGATAGTACAGTGCATGCGGGGTATCACGGGCAGGCGGTAACCAAGGAGAAACGGGAGAATCTTGTCATTGAATTCAATCAGGCTTTGGACCATATTTCTGAATGGGGTACCAGGTTTGGTTGAGTTCAATGCTAACAAAACCCAGGTCTGCGCTTTCACGGCAAAAACGTCGCCATTCCTTACATGTCTTGGAGACCTGAACAAGGTGCGGCGTTTTTTCACGCCCGAGCAATTTAACTGTGCTTGTTGTATAAGGAGCAGGTCTTGCGTAGAATATTGCTCGTAATTCTGGGATGATTCCACCAAGTACTTGTTCGATGCTTTGGATGGGTTACAGCGGCGCGCGATCCGCATGATAGGCGATGAAGAGGTGACTAAACACCTAGAGCCTCTACAACTACGCCTTGACGTGGCGTCACTAAGCACGTTCTATCGTCTGTACCACGGCGAGTGTTCTGAGGAGTTATTCTCTCTTATTCCACCTTCCCCTTTCCTTCATTGGATCTCGCGCGCTGACCTACGTTGTCACCGACTGACTGTGGCCACAATTCCAACGCGTTCAAAGAAATTTGTTGACTCATTTCTTTGTTGCACTATCCGTAAATGGATTGCACTGACCGCTAACGTATTCCCTCCCTGTTAGAACCTGGGATTCTTTAAAAGAGGCGTTAAGAAGCAACATGCAGGCCGGCAGGGTGAGGATGGCTGATGTGGTAGGTAGAACTGCTGTATCAGCTATCTTCGCGTCTGGACTTCACCGTTACTTATATAATTCGAGATTTTTTTATGAGGATAATCCAACCCCTAGTTATAAAGGTCCACTAAAATGGCGATGCCCTTCGGGAAAAGTTAGGTGGAGCCCTTGCACTTTGCTTGTCTTGTCGTGTTGGTGGAGGGCACGGTTGCGTTGATATTGAATTCGAATTTTGAATTTGTATAAGTTATAGGGAAGGTGAATACCTGTATACATACTAAGAGGTAAGGTTAATTGGGATATCAAAAAAAATCAAAGATACAAATTAGCAAATGGTGCATAGAAATAAGCTTAAGTTAATTTCAGTGACATAATTAACATGTTTTCTAGATGTGATATTATAAATACAAAGGCTGAACAATAATACTGTATACTTAAAAATTTAACCAACAGTTCTCACAAGAATTCTCTGTAGGTAGGTACATTACGACAAAATAATAAATGAATCACATTCTTAATAAATAGTGGCTAATAATTAACGTTGTTAAAGTTCTCTCGATCATTAATGTCGATTAATCGTGTAGGTTTATCATGTACCTACATTATAATAAATCGAAAACGGAAACAAAACAATAATAATAATGACATTTATTTCAGATTATTCCATCCATAATGGTTAGTAACAATTATGCTTACAAATCTAGCGTTAGTAAATTGAATTCATAAAATAAAATTAAATAAAAAAACAAAAAGAAACATACAAATAAAATTAACGACTAAGGATAATATTCTAAAAGTTATCAATGGTATAAAATATCAAATTTGCTAAAAAATCTCTTCATTGTTTTACGTTTATTTACTTCTATCAAATAATACGATAAATTTCACTCCGGTAATAAGTTTGCGTCCACGGAGCACGGATCTGTATACAAACACACGCGACCCGTAGGACGCCCAGTTTCGTCTCTCAAATGCACCCAAAACGGGCCCCTCAGGTGTCGCGCGATCTCGCAAATTAAGATACCTACTGGATGCAAGATGATCATCGTAGAGAATTGATAAAAACTTTTTTAAATATATACAGGAAGACGCAATAAAATCTGTAAATTGAACCCCAAATATACATTGCAAAATATACACTGCACGGTAGCGCCCTCCAAATTCCGCACGGTCGATGGTCGCACTATGAAATACGTTAAAAAGCATTCTGGTGATGAAATTGAGTCCACGCCAATTTTTTGCCCATGCATTCTACGCATCAAAAGACGCCTTTGCACAAAAAATTAGGCTAGGTTAATCTTGCGTCCGTATACCGGACGCATCAAGTCGGTCGGACGCAGGATCAATAGCAAAAATCGCCATATAAGACGCAACATGATCAGCAAGATGTATATATATATATATATATATATATATATATATATATATATATATATCTATATATATATATATATATATATATATATATATATATATGTGTGTGTGTGTATGTATATAATAGATGTTTAAATCTAAAGAAAGTTTTTATGTATTAAATGGAGATTCTTGGTAATCAAGTATACGTAAAGTCGGTAAGTACCTTGTTATTCGTGTCAGTTTAATAATACACTGCAATCAAGCTAAATTTACAAGCTTAAGTATAGTGTTATTAAAAAATAATACAAAACAATAAAAGCATTTTTGAACTTAAGTTTTAAAAGAGGTGTTTTTTTGTAGTTACGCCGACGTACATCTCTTCCATGTGAAATCTAAATTATTTGAGAGTAAGGAACAAAGTAAAACATTTAATTGTATATAGGTTCTATATGTATCATAAAAGAATAAAACCTAAAATTATGTAAAGTAAAATAAGGGTGGACTACCCTTAACATTTAGGGGGATTGAAAATAGATGTTGTTCGATTCTTATACCTACTGAATATGCATATAAAATTTCACGAACATCGTTTGAGCCGTTTCCGAGTAGTTCAATGACGCACACCGTGACACGAGAATTTTATAAATAAGTACGTGAACGTTCTATATTACTTGACCAGATATAAATAGTTTAAAAAAGGGGTTCCATAGATTTCAGAAAAAAGAGAATATTTTTCACTTATGTTTTATTATTCCTTCCTTGGAACTAGAATGTTTATGTACAAAATATATGACATGGATCAGGAAATTTGGAAAAGAAAGATTAGTTCAAGTCTCAATCAGGGAGGATTTTACAGCACATGGCTAAACCCAATGGGGGAAGAGTAAGTGATAGGGGAGGAGTAAGTGGTTACGTAAGGACCAGTGTGTGTGAGATCAACTCGAGATTGGTGGGAGAAGGAACTGGGGATAGTGGCGGCATAGGTAGTCAGGAGAGGTGCCGAACGCTTCTTGATGAAATGGGGAGCGTAAGTGATTGGGTTCGAGATCAAAGGAGTAGAGGAAATTAAGGGCGTGGAGTGCAGAGGTGTGGCAGCGTAGGTAGAAGTAAGGATGGGGGCGGTAGCGGATAGAGTAGTGGCGGCGGGAATGAAGCCTAGAGACCTCTTCTTGATTAGGTGAGCTGCAGCGTAGGGCAGAGGAGCGGCCGACAGAAGTGACGCTGAGTGGATGAGCGGTGTGCTGTGGATCAACGGAGAACTGTAGGTCGTCAGAGGCGCGTTGATCAACGGAGAGTTAGCGTAATACGTGGTCGCAGCGAGGGAAGCCAAACCGATGGAACGCTTCTTGATGAAATGCGTGAAGGTTAGCGGCGAGGAGTACACGAGCGGTGGAGATGGGTGCACGACACTGCTGGCCTGCTTCGTGATAGTCGTGGCCCCAGGTGTAATCAGCGTCGAGTAAGCTGCCGGCCCATATATCAGCGCACCAGGCTCGGCGGCCGCCACAGCGAGGAAAGTCAACACCACCAGCTTGTACATTGTGGTCTGTGTTGTTCAGGGAACGACTGATGCCACTTCGATACTCGGCATCGTATTTATACAAAATAATAACTGAAGCAAAGGGCGATCTTGTTTCGCGAACCGGTGTAATGCGTCCAGGAAGCTGTTATTTACGTATACAACGAGGCCGACCAGAGCCCGGCCAGTCAGTTCATCACCGTCATGTGCCGCTCAAACAAAGCTACTTTTTACACCGAACAAATGTTATTTTTATTCGCCAGGGTGCGGTGCCCTTATCAACATAATTAACTTATTGAAACCTTTAAATCACTTAACCGAGTTGGTGTACTTAGTTATCTTAGTTTTATATACAAAAACCTATCAGTTTTGTGAGATTAATATCTATGTATATTAATATTGTAACGAGGAAAGATTTTCTATGTTTGTAATAATAGCGAGGGGAACTCAAACATCCTGGAACGATATATAAAAATATTACAATATTAGAATGTTAAATTATCCCTGAGATCTTCTGTATATCTTTGTATATATATAACGCAACCGTTACTATCTGACTGATCTATGACTGCACAACTCAAACCACTAAACAGATTATGTTGGAATTAGGCACACTCATAGCTTAAAAGGATTTTCAATAACTCATCCCCAAAATGGGTATAACGGCGATTCAAAGTTTGTATGTAGTGCCAATATAGCGAGTTTAATCCTTTTAACTAAATAAGCATTTTTTCCACGCAGACGAGGTCGCGGGCACCCGCTAGTATTAAAGTTCAACCGTGCAGAGCCGGGCAGGATCGCTTGTTAATGTTATTTGAGTTTTTTGTGCTCCGCACTTGAGAGACATAAATAAAAAATTCGACATGAGGAAAAGTCTGCATAAAATGTAGGTGTCACTGTCAAATCTTGTTAGTGGATGTTATCCATAAAGTAGACATAACAGAAGGTAATCCCGAGTATGTACTTAACTTTGCACACCTACGTCAACGTTGGCGTATGCACAAAAAACTACCGCGGTTGTGGCACTCGTATCTAGTTGTTTGATTTATTGTCGAGAGTAAAACAGAAGGAACGGAAATATAAACCAATAATAACTAAATCATATCAATTTTATTGTTATGTTATTGTTAAACTTTAAAAAAATTACAATTCACCGCTTAAAAGATGTAATAATAACAATAAAAAAAGATTGGAAAAGCAAGGAGCTCCACGGGCGGTTCTATCAGGCCCTAACAGGACCTGATGTGGACCAGCTCGCCTCGGTGAACTGGCTACGATTCGGAGACCACTTTGAGGAAATCGAAGGGTTTGTCTGTGCAATTGCTGACGAAGTCATGATGACGAACAACTATCGAAGATATATCCTGAGGGATGGAACAGCCGACATTTGTCGAGCTTGTCGTCGGCCCGGTGAATCCCTCAGATATATTGTCTCTGGTTGTTCTTATCTGGCCAGCAGCGAGTATTTGCACAGACAATCTTGTAGCCAGAATTATTCACCAGCAACTATTCAATTCGACCTTGTAGGATCCGAGGTCCCGTACTATAAGTACACACCGGCACTAGTTCTCGAAAATGGTCGTGCAACGCTCTATTGCGATCGGTCTGTCATTACGGACAGGACTATTGTTGCCAATAGGCCTGATATCGTATTGACAGATCGATTGAAACGCCAGGCAGTGCTCATCGATATCACCATCCCGCATGACGAGAACCTCGTGAAGGCCGAGAAGGACAAGCTCAGCAAGTACCTGGACTTGGCCCACGAGGTAACCGCTTTGTGGGATGTGGATTCGACGATCATTGTCCCTGTAGTCGTTAGTGTGAACGGTCTCTTAGCGAAGAGTCTCGACCAACATCTAAAGAGCCTCTCGCTAGATGGTTGGGTCAAGGGGCAGATGCAAAAGGCAGTACTCCTGGACACAGCGCGAATCGTCAGGCGGTTTCTTTCCCTGCGGCCCTAACCACCGGTAGCTTGGACTTAGCTCCGCTGCTGGTGGCCTTCTAGGTTAGGTTTTTTATACTTTATTTATTTTTGTATTTATGTTTTTGTATTTTAATTTTATATATTTTTTATAAAAAACCTAACTGTGAAATGAAGTAAATGAGAGTACAATAATAATTTCTTTATTTCAGACAAAAGACCCATATGACAAAATTGACAAAATTAATAATAAAAAAAACTATATACATCATAATAATGTCAATACTAAAATTATCTAAGAAATAAAATAGAAGTATCTGAATGTTTATTTCAGAGTGTCATTTCCAAAACGATGTAATTTAGTCCAATGCTTAAAAAATACATTGTCCACGTCATCGTGGATGTTCACGGAGCATTTCCCAGAACAAAGCGGACCGCGATCTGAGGATACAAAAAAAATTGGGAGCAAATGTTCCCGATTTTTTTTGTAAGCAAACATTTCCTTCGCACTACAACATCGCGGTTTCTTCAGCAGGATGCAAAAGGCGTCATTGTATTGGACTCGCAGTACATTAAAGAAACGTTTTGTATATCTCAGCCAAAGTTGACGTGTATAAAACGTTTGGCAGTACGCCTTAATCAACTTATCTTGACATCTCCCGAATGTCCACCGATACATTAACTTGTTTTTTGTTCTTCCGTTTTTGCACAAAAAAGTCCACAGACGCGTGTCTCAAGCGAATGACAGGCTCGCAGTGGTCTGAAGTGGTTCGAGACATCGTGTCCGTGAGTGGTGTCTATGTGTGTGTTGCTCGAGCGCACTTTAAATAATAATAAATAATAAATAAATATTTCCAACACTCACACCAATTAGCCTAGCCCCAAAGTAAGCACTGTAAGGCTTGTGTTATGGAATACTAGATTAACGGACAAAATACATATACAGTACATATATAAGTATATTTATATAGAAACACATATTAAACATCCATGACTGGAGTACAAATGCTCGTATTCATCACACAAACATCTGCCCCCACCGGGATTCGAACTCGGGACCTCTCGAGTCGGCGACACCATGAAACCCGGCGTACAACCACTCGGCCAAGGTAAACTACATACTTTGTACGTAGATGGACTTTTTTGTGCAAAAACGGAAGAACAAAAATCGAGTTAATGTATCGGTGGACATTCGGGAGATGTCAAGATAAGTTGATTAAGGCGTACTGCCAAACGTTTTATACATGTCAACTTTGGCTGAGATGTATATACTTTGTATGTAGATTACCTTCTGTTGTCTATTTTGTAATGTTACTAAGCGTCACACGATATATTAATTACAATTGTGACTAATTTTAGGCACAGAACAAGGGAATGTTTCACAAACGTTTAGGATGCGCCCCGGTGCTTGAAAGTAATTATAACAAAGCGAAATTTTGGAATGGTTCAGTGAACAATAATTTTGAGAATGTAATAGTAACTAAGGGATGTAACGTTGTACGTCAATATAGGTCTTAATATCAATAAGTTATAAAAGCATCATTAAAAAGCTACTTCGAAAAATTATAGAAGGGCATCGTTCGGAATTATATAAAATCAACAGCACCATTGAGGTTTTGGAAACTGATGTGATTGTTCCAGTGAATTGAGGAAACAATTGTCATCGAAAGATTATCAGGATACCGTACAAGGAAATTATATATAACGTGGAGGATAGCTGAGTGAAAAACAACATGAGAAAGGAAGGCATGGAGGCGCTGCGTCAAGACTTTTCATCAGTGTTAAGACTTAGTAAACCAATGAAATCAAACCTTCCTCGTGATGAATACCTTACACTAAAGAACTTGCGAACTAAGTCAGAATTTTTCCAGATAAAGTGAACGCTACGGTAGTAATGGTTACGTCAGATTACAACGACAAAATGTTACAACTTCTATCGGATGAGAACACATAAAAACTTGTGAAGAGTGATTCGTCCACCAAGATCCTGAAAAAGACAGGTAAACTATTTAAATCACTTTCCGAAACGTTAGATCTCGACATCAACTTTCTTATTCCTGCGTGTCCCAAACCACCAAAATGTACGGGTTACGGAAAATACACAACCAAATGCTCCGCTACCCAATTGTGAGCCAGATTGACTCACCAACATACCGTTTGGCTAAACACGTAGCAAAGTTACTTTCACCACTGAGAGGTAACACAACAGCATTTGTTAAGGATTCATAGCAATTTGTCAATGAGATTCAAGATCAACGTCTCATGCACACTAAAACCATGATCAGTTTTGATGTTCCTTATTTACATGCCCACCAGTACAGGACTGCACTGAAATCACTAAGAAGAAGCTTCTTAAAAACCATATGCCTGTAGAATAATATAAATCTGCATAGATTTACTAGAACATTGCCATACATCTGGCTACCTCTTATGGCGGGATTACTTCTATGTACTGTGGATAGTGTTGCGATGGGTTGGGATGGGTTCCCCTGTCTCACCTGTTGTCGCCAATATTTTCATAAGACTTTGAAGAGAGGGCTCTCAGCGTGGTACCTATCACACCCAGGCTATACAAGCGGTACATAGATGATACTTTCACAATCCTCCCTACAGATCAAGTCTCTGCCTTTTTCAATCACCTTAACTCCATACACCCCTACATCCAATTTACTATGGAGTTAGAGGCAGATAGTAAACTAGCTTTTCTAGATATTTTACTAATCAGGGATCCTGACCAAAGTTTAAGCCATACTATGTATCGTAAAGTACCACTTACTTAAAGGTACCTCAGTGACTCACACCATCACCCGAAACAGTTAACTGCCGTAAGCACCACACCTGAAACAGTAAACTTTGTTTCAGAGAGCAAGGGGCGTCTGTGACAAACAACACCTGGCAGCGGAGCTTCAATATGTCGAGCGAGTACTGAAGGATAATAATCTGAATGTACCACATCGCCATCACAATCGCTCCAAACCTAGCACAGGCGACCGACAACCTGCTGTACTACCTTACATGAAAGTAATCACTGACAAGATTGGGAGGATTCTGAAGCGTGCCTCGATCAATACTTACTTCAAGCCGCCAAAGAAGATTAACCAGTTTCTATTCTAC